AGGAGGTTATCCTTGACAAGCTGAAATTGTCAAGCAAGTAAGCAAGGATATGCTGAATTAAATCTGTCCATGGTGTGAGTTATTGATTCGAGCAATGACATCAAGATAAATGAGTATGAAACAAGTAAGAACGTGTTAAACCTCCATTTAGCTAGCTACGAAGCGGTACATGATCCTCATTGTGTGGGTGTCAGACTTAGATAGACGCAAGATCACCATTGTGTTAGTGTTTATCCTTAGATAGGCGCAAGATCCCCATTGTGCGGATGATTCGCCTTTGATAGGTGCATGTTATCGGCAGTAGCGGATCCAGGGGGTAGCCACCACGGGCCACGGCCCAGCCCTTCTCTGGATCCGGAATTAGTATAGTCTTTGTGCGTTAATCGATTTTAGTCATTCGGCCCAGTGTCATTTTATAATAAAATTGTGTGTATTTAGAAAAATGGGTAAGATACATATTAAAATCATAACTCTAAATTTAGTCTAGAAATTCTAGCTCAAATGAGTCTCGTCTAAAGAAAAACAAACAATGAAACCTAAAATTCTAAAAATCTAAAACGTAAAAGGCTAAAAGAAATATGAGATTTGTTCACTTGAAAAATCACTAGAGCAGGTGGTGAAAATATGGATGGATACACAATACAAATTGGTTAGTCGATTGATTTATCTAGTGTTGACATTGTCCGTTTCAACAGCTACTATGGAGAGAACCTTTTCAACAATGGAACATGTGAAAAATGATTTGCTCAACAAAATGAGCGATGAATTTCTCGCCGATTGGTTAACTATTTTATTTGAAAAAGAGTAGTATGCGATTAGAATGGATGTAGACTCCTTTATTGATGAATTCACTATATTAAAAGATCACGTGTACAATTGATATTGTAAAAAAATTATGATTTTTTGTGGTATCTAGTTTTCTAATGAATTGCGGCCCAGTGCATTACTATGTTCTGGATCCACCGCTGGTTATCGGTTCATGCTCCCCATTGTGAGGGTAGTCATATTAGGATATGTATGATAAAGTTTACAAGACGGGTGCGCTATGTAAGTGGAGGGCGGGGTCACATTATAAGATAAGATACACATTTTCAAGATAAGAAATTATAACAAGTAATAATAGAATCCCTTTCAAGTAAGGTAAGCCTTTAATATATGAGTATTGCATGTGCAGGCTCTATTTACGTATGGAGGATGCCTCCTTCCCTCTCCTCTTTCTGTATCTCTTCTCCTGATTGGGTCATATATGTGATAACCTAGAGGTGCTAAACGGATCGGTTCAGTTTTGGTTTACCACTAATCGATATGGCGGTTCGCGGTTAACCAATAAGCAAAAAATTCATATTAATAGCTAAACCGATAAGGCTTATCAGTTAACTGTCTTTTATCGGTTTGGTTTGCGGTTATTTTGGTGGTTAACCAATAGCCACTAAATTACATTCCAACAAGTACAGTTATACGTAATCGAACCAAATATCAACCAATAACTTCGATTTTCTTTCACTGAATATTATAAACCGAAGCAGTAGCCACTTATATAGGTTTAACAAGTGACAATTAACATAAATTTGAATCCACAAGCATAACAATGATCACGAGTATAAAATACTAAATATTAAAGAAGAACATCATACAAATAATTCAAAATATTTTCACTAAAGTTTATATTGTTAATACAAAATAATAAATTATGAGAAATAATACCAATACAATACAACATTCAGCGTGATACCATAATTTAAATCAAAATTCCAATGCATAAATTAAAAAATAATGAAACTTATTCATCCAACTAGCGATATCAACTATCAAGACATCAAAGACAAGCACCACAAGATCATCATTCACAAACATCAAAGAAACAAAGATTAGTAGGAAGTGAGGTTCGCTCTGCCGAACTACAAAGGGGAGTTAGAGAATGGTGACTTTCAGATTCTAACTCTTAAACGCATTTGAGACTCTTGATGGATGGTTGTTTGCAATAGGCCGAAACTGGGATGACTGGAATTACGACTCTGGTTGGTTCTAAATCTTGGAACTTTCCCCTTATCCAAAGTCTAAAAGTATATGGTAATATTGGTAGGTGGTTATTGGTTAACAACTAACCAATTAGTCGGTTAGCGCCAATAAGCAAAATACTGCTAACCGAAACCGAACCAATGAGAAATTATTAGTTTACCACTAAGAGCCTCCACATTGGTATTGCATTCTCAATTGCAAGATGACATTGCATGGGTTTTTGCAATTGCAAAACTGACTCACTTCTACTGTCACTCCAGGAATTGGCCAAGTGAAACCACTTCCTAAAGCGTAGTATAGCGGGTTTAGGTTCAAATGTCAACCCAGGTCTTGATTTGATGACTACTCAGTGAATTCTTATTATTTAGGTTCCGCAGTATAATTCCGGCTTAACTGCAGTCTAGGGGGAACCATATCCGGGTGACCTCTCTTAACCTGAATACAACAGTTTGCTTGCTTTGTTTGTTTGATAGTTTAGACTTGCATTAAAGTTTCATTGCTAGATAATACTGCGGAAGTTTCATTGCATTAAAGTTTCATTACCAAGTTTAGTTTCTATGATAGTTATACTGCGGAAGGTTCTTAAACAGCCTGAAGTCTCGACTAAAGGTCTTCAGACCCTCTCAATCTGAGTCTCTAGCGGGCGACTAACCTCCACCGGAGTAAACAGATTGAGGCCTTAACAAACAAAACCTCCACTACCGGAGTGAATCCGGTACATAATAGTGAGTTGGCTCCTCGACTAAAGTCACCAACTCCCTACCTTCAATCAAGGATGCTCTATCAACCTAGGCAGATATTCTCATTCTAGGTTAAAGCAGAAACAACAGGAATTTGATCAGGATTCAAGTCATTCAATCATTCAAACCTCAATCGAATATAATCAAATCATAAAATCAGTACTTGGGTTCATACAATCAAAGCCTAACATACAAATCTAGGGTTCTCCATACCCAGATGAATGGGAGAACTACTCCATGGAGAAAGAAGCAAAAGCATAATCAGACGCAGAATTCATACTGTGAAGGATGGATTCCTGCTCCTAGACGTTGATCGGCACTTCTCCAAGCTCAAACTGGCCTCCAATGGTGTTGAAGATCGAGCTAGGGCACTTGGAGACTCTTGTTCGTCGCTTTCTCTCTCTAGGAATCGATCTCTCTCTCTAAAACTCGAATCCCCTTCTGTTTGGCTGAAAATCTGCTTGAAAGGGCATCAGTGGCCAAAGCACGGCCGTGTAATGTCTCAGCCCGCCCGTGCTTTGGCTAGGGTTAATTACACGGCCATTGTGTTGGGAGAAACACGGCCGTGTTTGATGATGGACACGGCCGTGCTTGTGGTGGCCACGACCGTGCTTTGTCTAAGCCCTGCCCGTGTTTTTAGCCAATGTTTGCCAAACTCGAATTTGCTCTCGGCAGTAAAAGCACGGCCACAGAACACGGCCATGTTTTGCTTTTGGTGTGCCCGTGTTTTGGCTCCATAATCCCACACGGCCAGGCTTGTCAGTTGCACGGCCGTGTGATGTCTGTGTGTGCCCGTGCGGCTTCCTTAGCACCTCGCCACGCGCCCGATCTTCGCCCAATCGACCCCGAACTCGCTCCTAAACCTTCATTCACTTGCCAGGACCTGAAATATCACAAACAAGCACAACCTAGCGTGAAATGGGTCTAAAACACGAGAAACCACATCTCAAACGGTGTAAGAACAGGGGTGAAAACATGTGTAATCAACGGTCTATCAAAAACCAATAGCATTGATGTGGCTACAAATTGCATATTTGCAAACTTGCAACAAATGAATTGCATATGCAAGTCAAAAAGGCCTAATAAAATGGAGATTTTTTATTTTTATTTTTTATTTTCTTTTCTCTTTCACTTTATTTTTTATAATTTAAACATAATATTTACTTACACATGCAATTGCAAGTTAATTGCATTGATTTAGGTCAATGAAAGTTATTTGAGATGGATTGCAAAAAAATTGAGTTGGCAATAAAGAGCATAAATGCAATTGCATTGATGTGGATGTTCTAGTACCTTTATCATTCGGTTATAGGTTAAAATTGATAACCGACTAACCATTTACCACCCCTGGGAGGAATGAACAAGGATTAGAATAAACCTCACGCCCGCACACAAGAGTTGCAAAGGAATCAGAAGTATTCGAACTACCTGCTAGGACAAGTAACAAGTTGTTGCTCGAGATGTCATTGTTGCACGAGTTAGGTGATTGCAGAAGCTTCCAAGCCAACCCCTTCACTCGTTCTTTCATTAGTAAATTTGAGACTGATGCTCATTTATTTTAAGAGCGATTTTTCTATTGCAAATTAAAATTGGTTTTATGATTTTTTCACTTGTATGTATTTTTCCATGCGAATTATTTATGGTTAATTAAGAATATTTTGTTAAATTGTAGCGACCGCTTGATTAGGGTGTTACATGTTGAATCATCTCTGTGGTGGTGTTCGTCCTCTCGTATTCTGTCTTCGGAGTCTCTGATCACGAGACCTAGAGAAGGATAGACTGCTTGAGTGGTCTGTAGTTGGGGTTAATTGCATCAGATAACACTCATAAAAATTACAGACTTTACATATTAGGTTGTGAGTGAGGTTTTTTGTTCAAAACTACAAGAGGAAACAGTTCCACTTTTTTTTTTAGAGTAAGATGTAACACCTTAGGCGAATCTCACATCGACAAAGCACGGGAGAGATCCATGGTTCATAAATAGGAAACCGACCTTAACTGACAAGACGCGTTTTGGGGTATAATGGAAGAGTTCTTGTGAGAACTCCGAAGTTAAACGTGCTCAGTGTGGAGTACAACAAGGATGGGTGACCTTATGGGAAGTCACCTTGAATTGCACCCCAAGTCGAAATCTGTGCAGGTGTAGAAGTCCAAAGCGGACAGTATCTTGTCGGGAAAAAGTTCGGATGTTACAAAAGAATACAATGTTACAAGAGAATACAAGAGCAGTTGTCTCCTTCCCTATAAAATGATCTCTTCCTGGACACTAACATTCAAAGTCTTGTGCGGCAGTACAATGCTGTTCACTACCACCACTTCATCTTCCACCGTTACAGCTTCACCTGGATATTGGAGAAGAACAAGAAGGAAAATTAGCAAAGTCAAAGCGATGACAGACAACTGCAAAGAGGCAGTAGAATTTACTAAGTGATAAAATACACAAGACTAAGAGAGAAGAGGGAGCAGGGTATGAAACAAAGTACCGAGAATTGTGATACCCAGTTTTGCATTGTATGCACCTTCAGCCTGGACCCGAGACCATTTCCCAATGGAAGACTTCCACCCAACAATAGCATTGATAACAACCCCGTTTTCCTGATGGAATGTAAGAGCGTTATGCACAATCATGGCGCCAAATGCTATGAACTAACTTCTAAGGACGTAAAGTCGGTGAGTAGTCTTGGCCAGTTTACCATGACTTCAACGTCGTCGAGGATGATGCAACTGATTAGCCTTGCACCTGGTCCTATACGAGCATTGGCTGATATCGACACATTAGGACCAATCTGTTTCATCACAGTCTCGTTAGCAAGGGAAAGTTGATAGTTGGAATGGATAATTGTCCCACCAAGATTCCTATCGTCAATGAAAGGCATCATCAGAATTAGAGGGAGAGAAACATCACCTTAGCAGTTGAGTGAATTTTGGCGGACCGATGAATATAAACATCACCAACAATAGTGGCACTCTTTGAACCATCACCACTAGCCAACAGATGCGGAGAAGTGAATCGAAATTGAGCGAGATACAGAGCAGAACATTTCAAAGACATTCTGCATGCATATATCTGGAGAAGTCAAAATCGGAAGCAATGGGAGAAAAAAGAACACTGATAGGGTAGTTGTCGCTACTTACCCAGGAGTTTTTATTTGTTCCCAGAAGTCTCTGGTTTCGTATGTGTATAATTGCTTTTTCCCTGCAAGAGGTGACAGAATGTCCTGATCCAACCTCACAAAATCTGAAGGGAAACTCCTGCACAACAACATGCAGGTATCAGGATAAATTGCTTCAAAAAGCCTTAAACAAATGAAACAAAAGAAGATAGATTGATTTTAGTTGCATTATGTTCGAGCTTTTAGCCAAACACAACTGAACATACAAAAATATTATTATAGTAATCATTTCCAGTTTATGTTTTCATTAGTGAAAACATGTTCAGGCTTATTTTAATCTATTGTTGTAGCAACACAACAAAAATCAGTTGAAACAAGTGAAATCACTCTAAGTAGTTTCCTTGTTGTTTCCAAAGGATGTTTTTGCAGAGTCCTGTCAGTTGTTGGAATAAATTAATTCAAGGGAATCTACTATCGAATCTCACTAGAATCACTTTCTACGTATCTTTTTCCTCCCCATTTTCACATTACTCATCTATGAAACCTTATAGTAAGTATTTTTTTTCATTTTCATTTCTCTTTCAATTTTCTCATAAAATCTCATGTCACACTATTCCTCACAATATTTTCCTACTTTTGTCTTATTCTCAACATTGCTACTAAACGGGGTCGAAAGATGTAATTAAACGAGTATTTGTTTCTGATTGTCAACTTTCATAATTTCTCGGAATTACAAGCTAAATAAGTTTCTTTTTATTTTTCTATTTTCTTGTTGTTGAGATTGTACCTCTATTGTCACAACTCTACTCCAACCACAGCATCAACAAAACTATACTAAATGCATGATGTGACGCAAACAAACGAGATGGAGATTATCTTTCATAAATCATAAATGTATCATAACCTCTACAATAAACCAGCAGCAAGTCCCAGGAAACTGAATTTCATCATTTCCACTAACAAACATCTCGCATAAACAGAGGAACAAACCTTGTGGCTGACTGAAGAGCTTCAAAGCTCGACACACGTCGAAGGTTAGCTGCAGAAGGGGAAGTACGGATTAGTATTTTCCTGGAGGGACAACAATACGCATAAGTCAATGGATGAGTTGCCCAAATTTCACGATAAACTTTTTAACATCAAAATTTGAATTTCCATGGCTAGAATATGCTTCATATTTCTGGGCGTATCCATTTTCTTAAGAATCCCAGACTGCAGTCATTTCTTCTTTCATTTCTCCTACCTAAATCGATTTCTTAAATTTGGACTCTGCTTGCTTCCTGTTTCTGAAATCCCAAAGCGTTGTGGAAGTCAAAATCATAAACTTAACCACTAAAAACACAGGAATTCAAAACACAAAAAGGCATGGCCAGAAAAAAGGATACAACTTTCTAAAGTCTACCAACTTAATCGCATATAAATATCATAATGATGAGAGTTGTTTTTAACTGACCCCTGTCTTTCAGTTGAGTAGAAACTCCTTGGATGGCCGTAAATATTTCCGGAGTAAACACGTAGACACCACAGTTTATCAAGTCACTAACCTGCATTGTAGCATTGGCATAAGCGAAGCAAAGGAAAAGCTAAAGAAGTACAGGAAACAGCACCTCAAAAAGTTCTTTTATGTTTATCATTATGTAAATGACAAGTTACATACAAATGTCTCAGGTTTCTCTGTGTAATGCAGCAATTCTTTTGTCACTGGATCAGCTACCAATTCTCCAAACTGGCTGGCTGACTCCACCGAGACCTATGGAGATTAGAAAAAAAGGATGAAGCATAACCGAGCAGTTAAAGCTAAAAACTGAAACATAGTATTTTGTGGCCAAAATACTTCTCGGCATTTTCTCAATCTACCTTGATTACAAGGAGAGTTCCGATCCCACCATATCTTTTATGTGCTTCTGAAAACATTGAAGAGAAGAACAAGACAAAGCATAAGTAACAATGCAGCATACGAAGTTGATTCCAGAGGTTAAAAGTACAAGTATAGTGAACATACAAATGACGATTACCAAGCATTTCAGGGAGAGGAAAACTGCAGCAGACATCACAATTCAGCAAAAAAATATGGGCCTGCAAAGCATATATCAGTATTAAGAAAGATAGTAAATTTTTCTTTAGAAGCTCCGAAGAACAATTTTTTCGGGTGAAATACCGGATTATCCTCCATGATCAGATCTCTAAAGTTATAAAGACCACCAGCTGAACCATGAGGTTTGTCCTCTCTCAGATACCTAGACCAAATCCAAGATGCCATAATTTAACAACAAAATAGTAAATCTCGAGGCAAAGAATTGGAAAACAATAACAAATTTGAGTTGGTTTACCTGACAGGCACTCTGAGTTCATTTGAGATGGCAGACACATACAGTGCGAATTCACGCTCTTCGTAGAAACCAACGAGATAGATCTGAGCCAAGTTTGGAATCTGAACCAGAAGACAAGAAGATCAACCCGGAATGCCTAAGACATATTCAAATTTTAATCACATTGCTTCAGATGCAAGTAAACTTACCCTTTTACAAGCAGAAATTGGATGGTGAACCATTGGTTGTCCTGCTAAGGGGAATAAAGGTTTAGGGATATTCAATGACAATGGCCTGAATCGTGTTCCTGTTCACAATTCAGATCGACTCATTGAGAATCCCCATAAGCTACCATTTTTCACATACCAGCAATCAAACGCCAAATAGACAAAGGAACATGCAAAAAGGGAGAAATGTCATCCCCAGATTCAAGCAATTCGATACATAAAACAAAAAAGGAGACTCCTTCATCAACATTCTTCGACAGAAGATTCACCGGCAGAGAGAAGCATACCTTTAGTGGGTCCACCCACCATGATCACAGCTACAACTCTCTCCTCGGAACCACCCATTGTTTATCCTCTGCGAATCACCAGAACCCAGATCCCCAATTCTCCTAAACAACAGGAGTTCCTGAATCTCTACGGTAACAAGGGAATTCAAATCTCGAAAGCAGAGAACTTTCTTCTCAGAATTAGCCAAAGCTCCAACTCCCCTTTGATCAATGGGGTCTTCCTGCAATGTGGAATATCCGAATCCAATCCGGTATCCCCAGCTACAAGACAAGCGTTTTCACCGGGCACTGGTAGTGGTCCTAAATATCTGCACTTTAGGCAAGCAGCACACTGCAATTATTATTTCTATTTAATTTTGTTTTTCTAAAACCGAGAGAAACAGAGTGGAATTACAGGGTGGTCGAAATCTAGTTGAAGATCTAAGAGGGCAAAGGGGGAAAAGGAAAACTGGGAAGAAAGCGGTGTTTTGAGAGGCGAGGAATTGAAGGAGGATGACAAGGAGAATTGCGCGTTTACAGAGAGGAGAGAGGCTGAGAGAGTGAAGCAGAGGATTGGGTAGTGGGCTTCTTGTGAGTACTGAGACCCTGCAACTGCCGAAGCTTCCCTGGTGTCGTTTTGTTTTTCCGCGCTCACTTTCGCGTCGTTCAACCCGTTCTCTCGCAATCTGCCTGGCTAAGTGGCTATTGGATAATTGAGATTTTGGCTTTTTTTTTTGTTTTTTTGTTTTTGTTTTTTTTGCCATAGTGATTTTGGCTATTTGTTGGCGAGGAATTTCGTTTATGGTATAGTACTTTCTAAAATAAGGTTTTTATGAATTCAAAATTTCTTTAAAATAAAAAGTTTATTAATAATCTTAGTAGGATTCAAACCCACGATCCCTAGTTACTACACATATTTTATTAGGAGCACTTCTACTATGCTATAAAGTATTGGTACTTTAATGTACAACTTAAAGTTGTACCATAACGTTAAATGTACAAGTTCAGGTTGTACCATAAAAGAATTTGTGCTCTTATGTAATGGTACAACTTTATAACTTAAACTTGTACAATCAAATAAAAGTACAAGTTTAAGTTGTACCATAAAACAATTTGACAAAAGAGTATAGGTACAATATGAAGTTGTACCATAACGTTAAAAGTACAACTTCAAGTTGTACCATAAAGGGAAAAACCTATAGCACCAATACTATATAGCATTGTAAAATTCCTCATTTTATTAGTGTATTTAATTATAGAGATAAACGATCATGTTATCCACAAATCTAATGCGATAAAGGTCATTGATGATATTAATCACAACAAGATTGGTGCTATTAGTGCTATCATATTCTCAAACGTGGTTAACGCTTAACTTCTTATCCATAATCCATGTGCTCCAATGAAATCATTAATAATAATAAAAATACCCGATCGGAGGAAAGCTAGTTAAAAGTGTTGTTCGGAATTTCTTAGTTGGCTTAGTAGTGATTTTGAAGTTTCTGCCTCTGCAATTAGCATGAGCATGTAGTTGAAATCACTAATAATGATTAGTATAGTAATAATAACACATTCCATAAATGTTGATAATGTCAATCCAAAATGTTAATACTACATTCAGTGGCGGAGCCACTCATCAAGCTGGGGGGTGTCTGCAGCCCCCTTGGCCTTGGAGGAGGGGCAAAAAATTATCGAAAGAAAGAATTGGTAGGCTGGTGGGAGATTTGAAACACTCTTGTTCATTGTATGTCTCTTTCTTTGGATCAAAATAATGCATTCTTAATTGATTGCCAATATATACAAAGTATGTGTTAACTCACTGCATAAAAGTTATTCGCCCATAAACTTTGTCACTTCACTTCTATGATAAAACTTTTGATATGAACGTACTGAACTAAACATTACTTTTTTTCAAATACATCTCACACAATAACATCTAATGATGACAAACATCATCAATTTACAAATATCATCCCAACAAGTCCTTTCAAATCTTATGAAAATTTTAGTCAGTTGAATTATATATATTTTTTCTATTTATCATTTGACAACAACTTCAAAAACTCACTATGAGTTGATGAGTTAGCCAAAAAATAGTAGAAACATAAAAGCAGAAATTATATTCATATCTTTATTTGCTTCTCAAGTTGACACTTATTCTACCTGTTGTTATATCAATAAGGAGAGATCGTTTTTATCCATGAAATATATAAAAAATGATCTTCGAAAATGGATGAACGATGCGTTGGTGGCTTATATTAAACAAAATTTTTTGTTGGTTTGGACAAGGAATGTGTTATACAATGTTTCAAAATATAAAATGTCTTTGTTATTCATTGTAAATGGTGTAAGTCGTTATGTAATTGTATAAATCTTGAGTATTAAGTTGTTGACTTATAAGAATTGACTTTTGTTTTATGTATTCGATTTTTTAATGGTATGAAAAAAGCACCCCCTTGATCAATTTTCTGGCTCCGCCACTGACTACATTGCAAGTTGCCATAAAGTGAGAGAGAGCCGATATTTTATTTATTTTCAATTTACATTTAAAAAAATAAAAATATCATGTTTGAATTTTACTAAATATTAAATAATAATATCTAATTAAATGAATTTAGAATTTCTTTTTAATTGTAATGGAGAGAGATGGTTATGGAGAAGGAAAGAGAAAGAGAATCATTAATTATTAATATTAATTATATTAGGCATATTTGCATAATACCTGATAACACCAAAATTGGTGTTATTTACCCTTCATATTTAGAATTGTTTCGTGCTAATTCTTGTGCATAATCGTTAGAATAGCGTTTTTTGCATCCCTATTTCGTTCCAATTTGATTATGAGGTGATTATAGGGTGCCTTAGATAATACATGCAAATTAGGTACAAAAATGGTACAAGTGTAGAGTTATGGGCGAAAAGCTTATGATCACGGTCTAGGGAAGGAAGATCGCGACCACGAAAGGAGGACGCGAAGAAAGAGCTAAGATCAAGACCGCGATCTCTGGAGTGATGGGCGTGAACTTGGAGAGGCAGCTAACGGAGGAGAAATAGGGAGTTTCCCTAGTTGAGTCACGGGCCATCGTCTTGCGAGACAACGAGAAAGTTTGCGGCCGCGACATCAAGGATCGTGACCGAGATGCCAGGCCGCGAACTTCGATCTTTCAACATGTAAATGTGTTGACCAGAGATCACGACCTCGCCTCACAAGTTCACGACTGCGAAATTTTACCCCTTGGCCGTGAACTTGCTCGAAATCTCATAATTATATAAATAGGGGACTCGTCCCCCTTTAGAAGATGGCTTTTGGAAGATTTCTTATTTTAGAGATAGATTAGAGAGAGAGAAGCTGAAAGGAGGATGGGATTTTGGAGGAGGACTTTCATCACTTGCAGACCCCCCCCCCCCCCCCCCCCGGGGATGCCCTTCTTAATGATTTCTTCCCATCTTTGTGTGTGTCTTTTCTTCTCCCCTCATGTGGTGATCTCCCAAGGTACTAGGGATTCTAAACCCCCAAAACCTAGTTTTAGATTTATTATGTAATGTTTGGATATTTTAGGGGTTATAATGAATAAATGTGTCTATCTAGTTGAATTGAATGCTATTCTATCTTTGATTGTGTTTGGGTAAGTCACCATAATCTTCTCTACTAGCCTACTTGAGCTTCTACGTTGGGTATGGAGTTTTAGGGTTAGACAGGTATGAACCATCAAGCAAATTAATGTTAGATGTATGAATATGATCCATTGGTGGTCAAGGTGATCAAACCCATGCCTTAGGAAAGCCTTCCTAGATAGAACCCGGGATAAAACCTCATTGTGGACGGTGGATAGTATCCATCGAAAGGAGATACGAGCTTAATGCCCTAGATACGATAGCCTACATTGAGGTGACTTATATGGGTTTAGGGGAGACGTACTCGGAGGCGTGTGGATAACCATGAAAGCCCACAAAAAAGAGCTCACTCACCACATTCGACAAACCCTAATTATTTAGACATTACATAATACTCCTAGGCTAGGGTGAGCGATAGTTTCCCGAGTACCTCTTCTCATCTATCGATCTTTAGATTAGTAATCGTCAACTACCCACCTGCTAAACAACAGGTTGACTAGATAATGACCGAGCCTAAGTAGCCTAGGATACCACAACCCTTGGAATACGGCGGAGCCGCTTTACTACATCCCTATCTAGATTATACTTTGACTTGTTAGGATTGACTAGTAAGTGCGCTTCAACTATATAAATTTAAAGCTTGATTGAAGCAGTGATCAAGTTTTTGGCGCCGTTGCCAGGGAGTTACGGTAACTAGTTGAAAGAGTTAGGTTGTTAGTTTAGTCATTATTTCTTGTTTAGTTGTTTATATTAGTAATAGTATTGCATAGTACGTTTTATTTTTGTGTTTTGTTTTTCACCCACTCTTCCCCCCAAAGGGTGGTTTGTATGTGTTTAATTTTCTTTTTAGTGTTTTTATTGTGTAGAAGCTTTTGAATCATGGATCCTTATGACTTCACCAAAGTGTGGGGGTATTCATCAATACCCGAAGATGGTTACCCCGAAGCTTCAGGGAGAAATCAAGATGGTGGAAGTCAAGGGTTCAGATTCTTTTACCGACCCCCATTCCAAGATGAAGAACCATACCAATGGGGATACGGAAAAGCTTCCCCAATCCAAGAAGACTTCCATCCACAACCAGAGCCAATAAATGGATTGGAATTCTTGGGTGGAGTAGTTTTCCCGGGGTTTCGATGGAGCATCCTCAAGTGTGGAACATTCTTGCTACACTCCACAATCTTCGATGAGCCAATTGGAGATCACGATGGAGTGGTTCATCCGAGATACCGAAGCATGCTCCGATGTGGAATCCTCAACCATCATCCCTATTGACTCATCCTTACTACAAACATTGGAGGAGATCCTCTGAAAAATAGAGAGACTAGGAGAGATTGTCAAGCAAGCATGTGCACGACTTGCTCATAATCATATCCTACCATTTGAAGAAGAAAAGGAGGTCGAAGAGGAGAGAAGGAAAGTTGTGGATGAGGAACCAAGCGTCAAAGAAGAGGAAGACCTTGATCGTCCCCAAGTGGAGGAACAAATTGAAGAACAAGGCAGGTTGAGGATGAAAATGAAGTCAAATATAAGGACAAGGTTTGGACGGATGAACCTTCCACAAGTTACACGTGCTACCAAAGCTTTCCACCCGATTGATGCGCTAATCGAAAATGACCCATTTGCAGCTCTTTGCCAAGCCAAGGCCAAACCATCGATGATCCCGCTTGGTGAATGCGATGGAAGTAAATTGATTTTTCACTACATTGTGTGGGTCAAAGAGAAGAGAGATGAAGAAAAGAACAAGAGGTCTTGTGGGTGGAGACACAATTCTTAGCAAGTCCACGGGTCATTCACATCATTTGAAGCATCCAATGCTCGGAACTTGAGACACCACCTCACCGAAAAGAACCTCAACTTCAAGAAGGTTCTAAGTTGGACCGAATGCTTGAAGATAATCGTCTGGTGATAAGACTTAAAAGACGTACTAGTTGGGAGGTACCCCAACAAACGGTTTGCATTTTCTTACCTTTTTCAAAATAAAACTTGCATGCTTTAACTTGTTTTAGATAGTTTCTATATTTTTGGTTAATGAATGAATCCCTTTAATGTCAAGTAGTATATGAATGATTGTTGGAGACTAACTAGTTGCTAAAGGAATGGTTGCAAATGTTGTTGTTAAGCAAGTGTGCTAGCCGACCACTTAAACTACTTGGGGTAATAGAATGGCATGGCTAGTTCAATAGGATCATAGAAATGTATGCTTATGATTGTGTATGTGTGTTTGGAGGCCTTGGTGGGATTTATGAATTTGTGGAGTTTTGATGTCGCCCACCAAGTGCTCGATGAAATGCCCAAACCACATAGAATTTATTTTTCTTGATCCATTGCAATTGAAATTGTTACACTAAGATATACCCTTATGAGTGTGTTAGTGACTTAGGATTGAATCTTTGATGCATGTTCCTTGAGTTTGAGATTTTGGCTCACTTTTGATTTTGTGTTTCGTTATGCTTTTAGAGCCAAGAGTTCAAGCTTTGGTTGTTGTCTAATGAGTTGATTCTAGCCTTCAGTCGCGGTTTAGAAACCTCTAGAAAGACATGTCACCCTTGTTGATGCATCTAGACCTCAACCCTTAAGTGTGGGGGTGTATAGAGTGAACCTAAGGATTGATGTTGCGGTTCAATTGATCAAGTGAGTTTCCTAATGGTTTATTTGAACATGCTTTGTGATTTTTCTTTTCTAATGGCGATCGAACCGAGGGTGGGATTGCTAGTTCTCTTAGCCCTCAACAACAAAGGACACATAACCGTCCATGATGAGAAGAACCATAATTTTTAAGAGAAGTACCATAACCTCAAGTCGAGGGCAACCACAACAAGTACAAAAAAACGCAACCAATGGAGACGACTACGAGCTATGATGGACCATCTTTGCAAGAAAGAACCTCTGATTTGCATCTATCATATGCTCCAATCGTACATCTAAGACATCTTGAACTTTGGAGGATAAACAGGAAAGCCAACTGATTCTGGCCAAGCTTGTTGGCCTTCAATGGTATGGATACCATATTCGTATGCCATCTTGTATGACTCGACGGTGTAATAGGAAGACACAAAATCAGATGGCTCTATCTAGGGGTGGGATTCGGTCGGTAAACAATTTACCGTTTACCGAATTTACCGGTTTCGGTATACCGAAGTTGGCCAAACTGGTTACCGATTACTGATACCGGTTTGTAACCGGTTTTCCGATTACCGAATTACCAGTAAACGGTTACAAACCGGTATTACCGAAATACCGTGAGAAGCGATTTCGGGCGATTTTTCGGTCGGTTTACCGAATATTTACCGAACCAAATTTCTGAAAGTGGGGTAATGTTGTAATATTTTGAGTTTTTTGAGTTTTTTTATCATTTTTGTAATTAATAATTTATTATTAACTCTTATTTACAATATTTTTTAGACCTATACTTACTTACATTCATGTATGTAATATTTTATATTTGTGAATAATGATGTATATGTTATATGTTAATGCCTTAACTAGTTTTTGGGGAGGGGGGATTTCGGTATCGGTAATACCGATTTACCATCGGTATTTACCGATACCGTATCCGGTAAATCGAATATCCCAAGTCACCGCTCGGCTACCGATACCGCCGGTAAACGGTTTATGGCATGTTGACAGGGAATGGCATGTTGACAGGGAATTCTCACCATTATCTTTCGACGGATGCCCTCAAACATGTCAATAATCCTATCCTCACTCTCCTTCAAGATGTAACCATTGAAGGTCTCGCAGATGTTACTTTCCACCGAATCACACCTGGCAGTGTGACTCATAAAATCCTGCAAAAGGTCTCTAGTTGATGATCCAGAAAGTCTTGAATTAGAGAAGGATCTGCCTCACTTTGTTGAAAATCTCCCATGACCTTGATGACTGCCTTGTACTCGTGTACATTTGTTGCATACACTGGTGCCCAGTACAAGTCTATGTGTTCCTTGACTCTATGGTTGACTTTCTAGTTTGCAAAGACAGGTCGTGCACATTTTCTAAACAAAGCCTCAGGTAAGCAGTTGTTTAGTGCTTACACAAGTCCATACAAAGAAAACCAAATATTAGTCAAATATGAAAATTCAGATACAATAAGAAGTCACATGCATCCAACTAAACTTATTTAAATATACCTTATGCTGGTCGGAGATGATAGTCTAGTCATGACCATGAGTAGTCCTAAGATCCTGCTGCAGAATCGAGACAAACCACTTCCATGTATCACTACTTTCCCTTTGCACTACAGTCCAAGCAACAGGGAACATCATGTTGTCCCCATCTTTACCAACAACACTCAAAAGCATCCCCTTAAATTCTCCTTTAAGAAAACACCGATCCAAAGCAAACATGGCTGGCAGCCTCGCATGAATTTTTTTCGCAACCCACTATAAAGCACTCCCTAATCCTCTATCAACGAGCCTCTCAACATTAGCTTGGCATATGTCCTCTCCCTATAGCACGGCCTCCTCGATATGAACACATTGTGGGTTTGACTTAGCTCCAACATCATATTCTTTACCTTCCAATCAGGCTCCCCTCGAAAACGTTCAAGATACTTCTTAGCCACCCAAGTTGCATTTTCAACCCGCATCCAGAAATCCCTAGGACAACTGTGATCCCTCTCAAGATTCTTTACTATAAACAAGGAATGAGCATGCCAAATACCATTGACATACCACCACTTCTAACGACATTCAACTTGTTTCTTGTTCTTGTCACTCCTCGTCCACTTGATATCAGCACCAATGGCGATGGAGTGGTTGGGCACTGCCTCCTTGATCTGCTCCGAGGAATTGAAGCTCATTCTCACCAACAGCTTTAGGGTAGAATGATCACAACCGGGGACATAGTGGGGACCATCTGCTAAAGTATCAGCTGCCTCTTCGTCATCACGGTTCCCACGAACATGTCGTGAGTCAACCAAACCCCTATATTTTGACTTGAGTATAATCTGGTTTACCACTTGGTTTTTCTGAATGTCTGCGATATCTTCATCTTGACCTCCCATAGCTTGAGAATCCACATTCTGGTCTCTCATATGCTGAGTCTGCTCATATTCTGTGACTGATTCCTGCTCCACAGCTTCACCAGTTTAATCTTTGGTGGCATGGACCCTCATTCTTCATGCTCTAATGCCTTGATTCTCTAATAAATCGACGAACTCATCATCAGAACTTCAAACGTCATAATCCGTAAGATGGATGATGTCTCGATTCTGTGACTCCTCATCACTTTCTGCATCACCATCGTCACTAAAGTCTCCACTAGGATCTTCATTATCTCCAACTTGAGTCTCTATTCCTTCCATAAAAATCACATTTTTTCCCCATCTTCTACACCATGGAGCAATCCATCCATAACCTCAGTGCCGAACCTTATTTCAACCAGGCCATTCGCCAAATTATCAGATGGAGTCGTATACCACAAGCGGTCGACCCCTCCGTATTCAAAGTGGACGACCCCAAGCTGTTGTAACTGGAAGTAAGAGATGTATTCTAGGTCCATGTCGACTTGTTCAATCTTCCCATTTAGGTATCGAGGAACATCCTCAGAATAATCGATCTTCTTGCCTTGGTGGACTATCAATTCAAAGTACGTAGTCATCCTGCACGTTTCAAAGCATGGTTACTATTACTAAACTTCATTTATATTAATCTAATCGCACTTATGGACAATAATTTTCTATTACATTAAAAACATTCCCAAAATTTTCTAAAAGACAACTTTGCAATCTAGCATACCACAAACCCGTGACCTATCTGAATTGAATATTACAACTCCAAGATAACCAATACTCCACATGAATGGAAATGACCAAAATGTTCTGCTGGAATTGAATTCATACATGTTACTCAACTCACCAAGGGGGTTATTTCATCTTCACAACTTCGTTGTGGTCCCTACTTTTCAATCTTCTTCTAGCGAATCTTCGACAACAAAGCCACTTTGCAGCTACCCCATTTACTTTCTTGTACGATTTTCACACTCACTTTACTTCCCAACTACCAAATCGGCCTTCAAATACCTCCAAAACTCCAGAAAATAGAACATGCCCATTCGCACCAAAACCCTAGAAATTTTGGGCGAAACTCTACTCCACACCCGCGAAGACCTCTACTTGCAGAGGCATCATCTACTCCTCCCAAGACACCAATACGAGCAATCGCAAAGGTCGTCGACGATGTTTGTAGAAGAAATTGAAGATGGGGTTGCGGGTAGAGCCTGGCCAGACAAAGGTGTCGAAGCTGCCGCCCGAAAAGGACCATCCCCGCCCACTGCGGTCGATGTCCCAGATGTTGACAGCCCTTGGAGAACGCAAATTGACTCCCCGCTGTTCGACTGGAGGATAATCGGAAGATTGCCACAATCGGTTAGGGTTCGTGAGTTTTTGGGGGTAAACCTCTGGAAGGCGAGGGAAAGGGTAAATGTTAATTAGTTTTCGGGTGAAACACCGATTTCATTTGAGGTTATTTCTTTTTTAAAAAAAATTTGACATGTAAATAAAGAAGGAGAAAGTAAATAAAAAAAGCCAAGTCGGCAGACACATTAGCCGTGACCTCTCAACTAATTCAAAACTAACGGTCAACGCCAGTCAACTATAACAGAAAAATAGCTTAGGACACAAACTTAGGGCACAAATGACACAATCTTAATAGTTCAGGTTTCCTTGTGGTATTAGCCCTTGTAATTTTATAAGACTAATTTGTATATATTGTAATGCATAATATTTGTTTGTTTTTCTAGTTGGTAGACTTTGTATTTATAATTTATTGGTTTGTAATACAAGTTTACTGATTTATATTATAAGTTCTGGTATTTTGTATAGTTGATATGCTTCGTACTGTTTGTCGGTTTATTTTGTAAGGTTTGTTATTTTTTTAATGTTTGACGGTTTATTTTGTAATGTTTGTCAGCTTTGTCATTTTTCCCATCATGTTTGTTATTTTTGTCCACCATTTTTGTAATGTTTTTATTTCTAAAAAACACTCGGGGTGACTTTTTTATGGAACTCTTCTATATAGAGATGGAGCCTCCAAAGTCAACTTGGTTGTTTTTTCATTTTGTACGGATTGTCAATCTAGTTTGTTGTTTATGTCCACCAGGTTTGTAATGCTTTTATGTCTAAAAAACAACCGGGATGACTTTGAGAGGAAACCCCTCTATATAGGGATGGAGCCTCCAAAGTCAACATGGTTGTATTTCTAGTTTGTAATGGTTTGTATTTCTAGTTCGTATTGTTTGTATAGTTCATAGGTTTTATATTGTTTGTAAATCTGTTTGTATGTTTTATCGTTCTAGTTTGTATTGTTGGTATGGTTTGTATTATTTGTAAGTCTGCTTTGTATACTTCATAATTGTTCGTAATACCCAAACTACCCATGTTATTAATTAAAAAGCCCTTCCAATTTTTTAACTGTTGGATTGTTGTGTCTAGATCTAAGGACTGGGAGGGGCTTAGTCAAGTGACTAAGCAACCCACTTACTCACATGATCCGCACTCAAAGCTTTAGACATGATGCATGTATCTATGGTGATGTTATTCCACTCTTCTTGTGTTGCTAGTCAATATGTTTAGAGATGTGAATTTTATGATGTTTATGCATTAATTTTTATGAGTTATTAAGATTCTAATTTCATTTTATGTTATGATCATTGATGTCTAAGCCTTTAGATTATTTATTGTATTCGCGATGCTTTAATCATCTCTTGTGTATGATGATTGATGCTTTATATTATAAGATGTTTTAATTACTCTATGCGTGTAAATCTATTTGAATTTTACTATAGTCATTATTGTAATACTATTATTGGAGACAAGGAAACTAATATAGTGTAGTAGCCATCCTTCTTAGGCGTGTATAAAAGGATTAGCTACCCTTTTATGCGTGACTGGGGATGATGCTTGATTCTTAGATCATCGATGCTATAAACCATCGATTATGGTTTGTAGAAGCCCATAATTAATCATGTATTATCCTAACTTCCTTGTTATTCATTGATTAGGTGATGTCATAAAGCGAGAGCATGCATTGGCTAGTCCAATCTCTGTCGCAAGAGTAGCATGCACGGGTAGAGAGCGGCCTTAGAGGAAGGGGTAGGGCATCATAATGGATGATGCATTGAAGCATCTTATTAAGGAGGATGAATGTACAACCATCTAGAAACACTACCTTAACATTCTCTTCATTGTTTTGCATTGCATTGCTTTCTTTCTTTCTTGCTTGCTTGCTTTAGCATAGTAGATTTCGAGTAGAGGGCACCTCAACCCAACTAGTTTTACTTTCTTGCATTGCATATTCGAATACATTATATTAAGTTTGAGTAATTAATATTAAAAACCCTATGGAATGTGACCATAGGATTTCCTATGATATTTATCACTCGATACTGCACGATCAGGCACTTGTGGTTTGGTTCGTGACTTTGTGGCGTGGTTTATTACCTTTGCACAATACACGTTAGTCCCCTCACCTCCCCCAACTTTTATTAATGGCGACTGTGCCCCTCCTTCCCTTCCCCTTCATTAATTGTGGCCAACTCATTTATATTAAAAACTCAACCAAACGAAATGTTTTCATTGGCTAAAAGTAGTGCTAACACCGTGTTAATAAAAAAAGTGTTAGCATTCTTGCCCATCCCTACAACATATGAGCATCTAATTTAGATAAAAACTCATACATTTGTTGGATGAAATCTAAAAGGGACCAAGCTTTTATATCTAGTTATATCACAAAGAAGTTGAGTCATGTTGATCAAGAGTTCTTAAGCAAGCTGGTTAGTGCATAGGAGGTTAGGAAGGCCATTTTTTATATGGATCCCTCTATAACTCCTGCCCCTGATGGCTGAACAATGGGATTCTTCCAGGAGAGCGGGAGTACTGTTGGGCATTCAGTAACAGCTGGAATCCTTGAATTCTTCCACACTAATCATTTTCCCAAAGGTATGAACGCAACCTCGATTACTCTATGACCTATAGTTCCCAATGAAATGAGTTTGAACTCTTATCGTCCGATTGCTTGCATAACTGTATTGTCAAAGGTAGTTTCCAGGATTTTATCTAACCGCATCCATAAGGTCTCCCTAGTGTGATCACTCTGAATCAATCTGCATTTGTTAAGGGTAGAAGTATTTTGGATGACTTTCTTATGTCGCAAGAAATGGTGCATAGCTATAATAAGAAAGGGAATGCTTCACGTAGTACTATCAAAGTGGACATAAGGAAAGCATTTGATTCTGTCCATTGGGGTTTGTTGTTCTGTGTGATGGAAGTATTGGGTTTTGACATGCTACAACACAACACCAAACTGCGACCAAGTATAATCGTAGTCCGGAAATGCATAATAGTGGTAAGTTTACTTTATCAACCCGGGGTCTAGATCTAGTGCCTACTCCGTGATTCTCTATTATCTAGCGGGAAAGACTTAGTGAATGTGATTTAAAGCTAAGTAGACAAAAAGTAGTAAATTATTCAAAGTTCTTAAGCAAGGGAAGAGTCACTGGGGAATGAGTCCCCCTATCTCATTAGTTAAGTCCAAGTTATAATTTCCTTTGGTTGATTTACAGTTTATTAAACTGCGGAAGATCCAATAGTAGTTTGGAATCTCTTAAGCTGGCCAAGCCCTCTCAGACAGACTACCCGACAGACGACTAGTCTTCACCGGGATAGAACACTGAGGCAATTAATACAGAACTCCACTACTGGAATTAAAATCCAGTACAAAGCGTTGAATTGACTAACTCTCGTACAATCAATTCACTACTACCGATTAAAGAAGCTCTAACAACCTAATCGGATTCTATCTATCTCAGGTTGCAGAAGAAATCAAGAAAAGTTGATCAGGCTTCAATTGACTTAATAAACACACTTCAATCGAATATAATCAAGCAATATACCAATCCAAACACCATTACAATCAAGATCCCTAACACATGGAACTAGGGTTCTTCATACCCAAGTGAGAGAGAGTTCTACTCCATAGAGAGAAAGAGGAAAACAGAATACAAAGCAGTCATACTGGCCAATACTGGCCAAAACACGGTCGAGGACACGACCGTGTTTTGGAGTAGTATGCCCGTGTTTTTCCCCAGCTTCACCGAATGACCTCCAAACGCCCCGAAACTCGTGTCTAGCCCTGCCTTTGACGTCTAGGACCTAAAATGTGACAAAAGAGCACAAACTAGCGTAAAATAGCCCTGCCTTTGTCGCTCTCATCACATGTTCTGCATCTTCGTTCGCCTGCTTGCAACGCTCACAGTGGGTAGAAGACGTCAGATGTCGTCGGTGTCTTTCAAAGTTGGTGAGAAGCGATCCGTGTGGAGCGAGCCAGAGGAAGTATCGCACTCAGTTCGGACCAGGCCATTGCCACACTGTCTTCCAGCCAGCACGTGCCTCGTCGCCATCAATGTCCTCCACCAACTGGTAAGCTGACTTGAGGGTGAATCATCCTTTCTCCTCGAGTCCCCACACAATTTTGTCTTCCCCAAGCTCACTCATTAAGGGGGCATTCCTACGACCTGCAAAAGGAAATCGCGCGGTAAGTAGGGGCCAATTCGATCAATGTCCCATTCACCAACAGGGGTGACCATGTCGGCCACGGTTGCCTTTGATAGGAAGTCTGTTGTGTATGTTTGTGCATGGTACCCTAACACACTCCCATCATCCGTCCACTTATCGTTCCAAAAGGATGTCGTACGTCTGTTCCTTACACTCCAACAAATACCACCTAACATCAGCCCCCAGACTCGTCGCATCCCACGCCACAAGGAAGAGCCGCCTGTCTTGCCTTAGAGCTTGATCCCCTCCGGTCCAGTTCGCAGGTACTTCTCCTTGAGCACTCGTACCCATAATTCATCTGGGTGCTTCAGGATGGTCCATGCAAGCTTGAAAAATTACGCAGAGTTGAGAGCCTGATGATCCCTGATCTTTGGGATGATAGATGGTGTCCTAATGGACTCGACGTCGTCCCTGCTGAGAGCCCCAAATGAAGCCTCTTAATTTCCGGTCCAAATAGTCACAAATACCTGCAGGCAACATAGTTGTTTGCATAACACAGGAAGGCAAAGCATTAAGCACGAAAATAGCCAAAGTTACCTTCCCCATGAGTGAAAGGTTGTCCGCCTTCCAACCCGCCAGCTTTTGGTCTATCATTTCGATGATATAGTGGTAAGTCTGTGTGGTTTACATGCCCATGAAGAACGGGGACACCGAGGTATCTCCTCGAGTCCTGCATCAATGGTTTGCCGAGCCTATCGCTTATTTTTTTTGCAGAGATCTCGTTTGAGATGCTTGGAGAAAAAAGTTTGCGATTTGTCCCGAGTAACAATCCCCTAACGTCTTGCAGAACCAATCAAAGCACCTGGGTAATAACTTCCTCCTGTTCCAATCTAGCTTCAGCAAATAGGACGATATCATCAGCAAAAAACAGGTGAGTCAGC